TACAGCGCTGCTATCACTTCCAACATAAATGAAGACAGAAAACTAAACAGCAGTGACGTTTGTAGGGTTAATGAAGTTGGACTAGCTGGTATATAATGATGTGCTCCGTGATTGCTAGTGACACAGCTATGTTAGCATAACATTAGCACAGTGAAGCTGGGGGATGAATGCTAACTTTTTTGACTTATCTGACTTATTTGTTTTGCTTAATGTGCCTTATAATCTGGTGTGCCTTATGTATGAAATCAGACCCGTTCATCGGCAGCGTGCTCTTTATGGTCCTAAAATACGGTAAATAGGAGACACGAAACCAAAACTGCAAACTAGAAACAAGGAACTAACACTAGAAAACAGGGAAATTGGTTAACTAGAACTAGACAAACCAGGAGGAAATTCACAGCTACAAGGAACACAGACAAACAACACAGCAACATGGGACAACGCAACAATGCGCAGAGGAAATAACAGAGTCAAATACACAAATAATAACAATGGAATGAGACACAGGACACAGCTGGGACAAATCTGACAAGGATTGTGACAAGGAGGAAGCAAACTGGAAAGACTGAACACAGGACTTGGAACTGTCAAAATAAAACAGGAAACAGACAGAGACTCAAGACATGCAAGATTAACAGTAACTGGGAGACATGAATAATCATGGAGACATAACTTAACATGTACGAGAGACATGGAAAAACAAGGAAACTGAACCATGAACAATACTAAATCACAAACTGAAGGAGGAGGAGACTGAAAAAGTTACTTGATTCAGTAAAAGGAGATGTTACAATCCTTTTACCCAATGCATTCATTGGGTGTTTTGCCATTTACACTAGACACCCTCATCCAAGGAGGCAATGCCAGTGTTGATCAGTGTCACTGATTCATGTTAAACTGTTATTTCTGTGCCGGAAGGGGGGCACCTAATCTGGTATCCCACACCTCCCCGCCGGATCAGACTGTACGCTCTACTTCCCCTCTGCCTCCCAGAAAAGGGAAAAAGAGCAGAGGGGAGAAGAGTAACATAGATTTTTTTTTTACCTTATTAAATTTATGCACGTAAGGTGAACTAGCAAACACCGCATGTAACACATAGTTACATGCGGCTGTCTTCTTGTTTGATGGCAGACACTACCTTCACCCAAAATGACCAAAGAAAAAGTGGAAAACAGCTAAACATGAGAGGTTTTTGGACAAAGTTTGTGTTTTTTCCATTGTTTAAGCACTGCTTCCAGCCAAGAGTGATACCATATATGCCCTATAGCTGTAGAAAAGGCTAACATTGTTATCTTTTTACAAAAAAACAGCTAAACATGAGAGGTTTTTGGACAAAGTTTGTGTTTTTTCCATTGTTTAAGCACTGCTTCCAGCCAAGAGTGGTACTGTATAAGCCCTATAGCTTGTTATCTTTTTATAAAAAAACAGCTAAACATGAGAGGTTTTTTGGACAATGTTTGTGTTCTCCGTTCTATAAACAAAGGTTCGAGCACCATTTAAGCACGAGCACCATTTCAAAAGTACCTGTTTGGCACCAGTATTGGATAAAACCTAAACGATACCCATCCCTAGGTTTCACTACCATCAGGTTAACTGCACAGCCCCCAGGAATCCCTGAGAGAGTTGTATCAGTCAACCAGTAAATTTTCTAGTGTTAGATATTCTACCCTTTAGACGCCCTCTACTGAGGCAGGCCCACCATGGGTCAATTAATCCTCGGCATGTATCTCAGGGTTAGCTGACTACCTTAGCTGCCTGAGTGATGTCAGCCCTCTTTAGTCCTAGCCAGTGACTGGTCCTCTCAGCAGTGTTATTTAATTCTCTTATAGCCTGCCTTTGTGCCTGTCCTCTGATTCCAGTCTCTCTAAGTAGTTTTGCTGTTGTACTGGCAACAAAGCCCCTGCACCCCACTTCCACTGGGCAGACCTTGATCTTCCAACCTCTGTCCTCTGCTTCAGCTACCAAGTATGCATACTGCAGTTTCTTACACTCAAATGCTTCCTAATTGCATCCTCCCATGGTACCATCAGCTCAGTGACGTAAGCAAGTTTTCAGGATTTAGACCAAAGGACAAGGTCTGGTCGCAGAATAGTTGTTACAATCTCTGTGGGAAAAATTAGCTTCTGATCTAAGTCACTCATGAAAGTGGAAGATTGAGGAAACATTTCTCCCACTGAAAACGCTACATCCAGATAAACAGAATCAACCTTTTAGGGACTAAATCCCAGAGGATAATTTAAACCTGAAAATAAATGAACACTGGCTCACAGGCTCAGTGCAATGATAATGGTTAAATTTAAGGCCGTTTTTCGCAATAA